AATATCTATCAAATCTTGAAATTACCTGCGGGTTAGGAATAATTTCGTCAAATTCCCCAAATGACGGTTAATAAGTTTATTCGAATCTTAAAATAAATTTCTGGATTGAAAAAACGAGGAGCAAAGCGTGTAGCATTGGCTTCAAACTTCGGTCATTCCTTGGAATGAATTTTGAAAAGAAAAAATTTCGACAAACTCGTTTTCGGAAAAAACTTTGACTAGTCGTCCAATAGTGGTTTCTTATTTTAATATATTTCTTAACATAAATTTCTGAATAGATTCAAGTTCGACAATATGGTAAAATATTGATTTAAATTAAATTATGGATAGAAAACCCTTTGAAAAATTCATCAAATATTGTTTTAAAATTTCTATTAAACCCTGAAATGAATTTCTGTATACATTTGCTTCAAATTTTTGTCAAACCTTAAAATATATATAATAATAATTTCTGGATAAAAGAATATCGACAAAATCGAGTTCTTAATATCGCGTATTTAACAAAACGAGAGCTATTCCACGTACTAAAAAGTTTTATTCCACGCAAAAGCTGACTTGGGTGTGCTGTTTGAAAAAAACTGTAATAAAATTATTAAGTATTTTGTATCAAGAATGTGGCTCTTCACTCGAACTATTTAAAGCGAAGAACTAAATATTTTTAACAAAAAGATATAAAATAGAACTTTGCGACGAGGATGGGATTCGAACCCACGCGTGCAGAGCACATTGGATTAGCAGTCCAACGCCTTAACCTCTCGGCCACCTCGTCACTGAAACGTCGCTCGTGCTCGCTCAGCAATTACGCTGCCACTGCTGCTCTGTCAACGACTAATAATGCCGACAGAACATAAATGAAAAACAAACTTCAAACCGAAGCTATAAAAGAATAAACAAAACAAAGAGCATGACGCAAAGAACATCAGTTAACAATAAAGAGTTCGAAAGCAATATGTACATATGAGTAAAAATAGAAATGCTTAAAGTCAACAACAAAGCGTAGAAAAAAAAATCAACGAAACTAGTGTCAGAGTAAATAAAAATTCGCTTATCAAATCAACTGCTTAAATTCATAAAGAAATGTCTGTTTATCTATGTGATTGTAGTAGTTGTTGTGTGAAAACAAAGCGACAATTGTCTGTGCAAAATATTAAAATCTCAGCGATTTTAAAATATATTAATTATTTAACACTATTTTTATAAGATTAAATAATTTAGCGCCGACAGCGCAAGCTTTTCTCTTTTAATTTTTATTTTTTCTTCATAAAATTTGTTTCACACACAAAAATGGATTTAACCAGGCGGAAATTATTACATTTAAAAACAAAGCATCCACCTCATGCACCGCAAATGCCACCACATGCAGCCCACACACATTTTTACGTAATTTTTGAATGTAGGTATATTTACAGTGCCGAAAAAATAAATGCCCCTGCTTTATAAAATTAAAAAGACGCAAAAGTATATATTAATTTGGAATTTTAAAACATAGTATGTTATTAATTTGTAATTAGTATTGTTCAACTTCTTCAAATGTGAATGTTAACTTTGAATTTTAATAAATCTATGAATCTCGAACTGAAACAGAGCAAATTATTATTGATGTGTCTAGCAGTACATACAGAGAAATTCTCAATCACATTGAAACCTAACGACTTGATCACCCTAAATCACAACGATTACATTATTTCCGAAACATTTTTTTATCTTTTAGATAGTATGTTTTAAGACATTGCTCTTTTGGATGACTGGACTTCTGTCCATAAAGGGAACATTTCCTGCTAGTTCCATTTGTTCATATTAAATATTATTGTAGATTACTAAAAAACTTATTATAAATATATATAACATAATATACTTATATATATAAATATCTGCTGCGCGAAAATAGTTTTTTGTGTTTGCACAGAACTATCGAAACTTTTTGACAAATCATCATGTATTGATACAGCACATCACCAATTACCTAATTATCGAGTAACTCGCAAAGAAATGTTTGTTCTGACTACCCCTAACCCCTTAGAACACTTTTCAGAAGCAATCAGCTTAGAAGTTCGTAGCAGAATATTTTAATAATGTGTAACATAAACACGTTAAACAAAGGGTTGGAGCCAGAACTTCTTAGGATAGTTTTATTAGATTAATTTCTATATTATTTAAGGAGTGATGACAATTTTCGTTGTATATTTTTTTTTTTGTTATGTTTGGTTTTTAATGATATTTTCTCTTTTTTCTGATAGTTTTTATCAATATCTGACCAGTTTGAATTACTTTGTTTGACAACTTCGTTTATATTATATTTTAGCATTCGGATCATAAATTTTTTCTCGTATCACGAAAACTGACGAAGGTGATTTCTATGAGATAGTGTATATGGTGCCCAAATAGAGAGAATGGAACTGCTTTCAAGTAACTACTAGAACAGTAAAGTATGGAAAAATTGAATTTTTCATTTACACATATTTCAAATAGTAACCGTAATGCAATTTTTTGTACCAGCACTGTATATTATACCCACATATACAGCACATAATTTAAAATTTTCATTTATAAATTGCTCGCTGCGTTTATAGAAACATTGTATGTGGAATATATATGCCGATTCGTATGTATGTAGGCCCACATATTTATACTTCAAGTATATATATTACAAATGTATATATATACATATGCGTGCATGTATTCGGTGAACCGCCACAGTGAGCGGAAACGCAAAGTCAAATAAATTGGCACCAATGCAAGCAATTAAACCTTTGAAATAAATTTGAGCAAAATAAAATAAAATAAAAAAAAAAAACAAATTAAATAAACTAGTGTTGATATCCCAAAATATCGGCAAAAGAGATATAAAATATGGGGAAAACACAAACCAAAGCAGTAATTAGAAAACCAAAGCAACAACAAACTGCCTGCGGCGTCTATTAATTAATGCTATTAAATATTGTTTTATAAACAGTAAAAAAATGTACACCAAAATTGATTCAAATTAGCAACTCGAATCTACATGTGTGTGCGCACATATAATATACGTATGTATATAGAGCAACTACAAAAATTCGATCCTTTGGCAATTGTAGAAATTTGCACAACATGTGTGGCACCACCAGAGTCACAGCCGAATAGCTAAACATAATTAATTAATGCATATTGGGCATAATCTAATTAAGGCACAAAACATATTTGCAATAATTATTAAATAGGCTCAAAAATTATTGGCCTAAGGAAGACGCAGGGTGACCCAAAATGTTCAATTAATTGTAGTTGCATAGATTTACTTTTCATACTATTTTAGATTACAGATTTTATGCCGTTCTGGAAGAATGGAGAGACGAGACACTATCGAATGTATATATAATCTAGTCACTAGTCTTCAGACAGTCGCCTGACGTGCTTCCCCAAACTTCGACTTTCGATCGTCCTAAATACTTGACCCAAAACAATCCTATAGAGCTAAACCTGAGAATTAAATCATGAAGGTGTGAGTCTGAAAAATTCAGGTAATTTTATGTTTAATATCAATTAAATTAAAAGCTGCCGTTTGCTTTGCTGCTCTAAGTAGGTGTCATTTTACTACGACTTTTGAACCAAGTCGAGATCGAGTTCGTCTAAATATAGTCTTGGAGGGTTAACCATCGGGAACAATGCAAGCTGAAGACCACTCATTTACATTGTTAGAGAGAGTCTAATAAGCAACGATTGGGTTTATATTTATTAAAATAGTACAGATATGAAATCTCTAGTTCTGCTGCTCGAAATATCGTAGTTAAGAAGTGCGTCTTTACCTGGATATATTTTAGGCAAGAGTATTACAGTTCTCCCAGTGCAAATATGTGAAGCATTTTAGAAATTAAGGGTACTCAGTATTGCTTTCATATTTTACTTAAAACCAAAAGGATGTTGGTTTATAGAAAGTAAGTGATCAGTGACGTTTTGCAGTAATAATGCAAAGTCAACCGTTTCTCTGGCTTATCAACATCGCGCCCTGTTAATGTCAGATGATATAGCTCACCTGGAAAATTCTGTATACTAAAACCTTTTGAAAGTTCGCTGTATGCAGAGCTGCTACATAGTGATTCCGCTTAAAATTTAAATTAATCAGAAATATTCAATCGAAATAAAAAAATTGTACAGCCATTTTTATTTTTTAACTCACTTAATAAACTGTGAGAAAAATATTTTAAATCAACATAATCAAATATAATCGAATGAAATCAAATACATAGGTCATTGTTGGGAATATATTTATTTTAATTTACACTTATGCAACGAGAGCATTAGCAAATTGAAAAATGTGAGAACTTTTCCGCTACTTTACATATGAACTACATACAGACAAAAAAATCGGGGCTATATAATATGTTGATATGCTTTTATGAAATGAATTTACGGTTGGTTAATGCTAAAGTATATTTGTATGCAACTGTGCATGTGGTTATGTGCCGTTATATCATATATAACTCGAAATACTCGTACATTAGATATACGCATAAAAATATTCTAAATTTCATATTCCTCATGCTTATACTCGTAGAAGGCTTGCTCATAAGTTGACACACAATTTCCATTTCTCGAATTAAATTTAAAATTTCATTATCTAGAAACCAACAAAAAATCACTTTATCAGAGCAATTAGGGCAGCCCTAAGTGATATGCAAATAAATCCTATTACAAATCGGTTTTTCGATATAACAATTTTAGATTTTAAGAGTCAGGAGTTAGTCGGATAAACATTTTACTAACAAAACATAGCAGTTTCGTTGTCGAATGAGCTAAGTGGCTTGACGGCTTGATTACCGCTTGGTGGTTCATGGGTTCAAAGCCCATCTGAAGCAAACTTAAAAATAAAGAAAAAGTAGTATCATGTGGCATATATCACCTTGGATAGTACATCATCTCTAACTGTGAAGTAGACGATTTTTTAATTCAATTTTCGATAGCCACTATTTAAGGAGGTTCAAAGCTAACTAATGTTTATTGCTTTATATTACATATTAGGAACTTACCACCTTTCGTAGAAATAGTTACTGCTTCTGAAATTAAATGAAATATACAAAAATGTATAAAAATTTATATATTGAAAAATTTTATTTTTTTACATAAATATATATTAATTATATTATATAAATATATATAATGCATGATAAAAATACGTAACTTATGTATAACTAATACAGTAAATCGGAATAGTTGGTCGACTAGAGTTATATTTAAATTGCAAGAACTCAACTTTTGTCAATATTAAGTTTATTTCTATATATTTGCACAAAATGCTGATTCTAGATTTGAAATAGTTTATCTACCTGCATTTCATATTTTATTAATAGCTCGATGACAAATGCTAGTTATGAGTTGTTAGTTTTCGATGTTGTTGAAAATCGCAATAGTACAGGGTCGACATTAAAAAGTTATAACACGCTGACAACTCAACTAAACATTTTTGACAAGTTAAATCGCCATCGATAGTGTTGTAAGTGGAATTAAGTTGTAAACCGTATTATGATTATAATTAAAGACTTAGTCAAACTCGACTTAATACTTTATAAATCGAACTATGTACGGAAAATCATTTGAATACTTAATTTTTAAAGTTAAAATGTTTGATGCTTCGGCAATGTTTAGTATTGCTTCTACAAGAATACTGAATCGTGTTTGAAGAAAGAGTAAATAAGGATTTAGTAAAGTTCATCGAAATGAAATTATAATTGTAAATTATTAATAGATTTTATATTTCTAGCGATATGGTAACTATAATCCAGCAATAGATCGAAAATTGCTTGCAGTGTACAATTCAAAGAAAATAAGTATACCTACATAGGTTAGTATATGAAAAATTTTCTATAAATCAATTTTCGACCCTAATTTGATATTGTACAATTTTACATGAACTTGAAATAATTGACAAAAAAAGTTCCCGTATATGAATTTTTAGCCTTTCATAGAAATTAGTGATTCGATTTTATTTCCGAAAGTTTGGTCCCGCTTACAGCGAGCCGATGCTGCCATAGATATAATTCCTTCTACACCGGTCATCAAAGACTGGCACCTCCATATAGGGTATCTTTAAGAAATGTAAGTTTATTTAAATTCTTTGTGAACCTTGAACGGTATGTATGGAGTACTTTGGGGAAATTGTTACTGGACATCACAATTTTTAGAAGCTCTTAGTTAGGAACTCTCAAAACAAACTGTAGAATACAACAACGCTTAAAATCAATCATAGCCGTCGTTGCGCAAGAACAAAGGTATGATATGTGGTAATACATATTTTTATTTCCATCAAGAAAATACATATACATCAATTATTTTAGTTTTGTATTTGCAAAAAAGTAGTTAAATTTCATAAGATTGCTTAAATATAGGACGTGCAAGGCGTTTTACAAAACAGGATCGTGAAATTATTCAAAAATTGCGAAAAGAAGGACAGGGTTAGCGTAGGATTGCTGAAATAATTGAATTTTGTGATTGAACGCCTATAAATTATTTTCTCTGGGGGTATGTTAAATGAAAGATAAATGCCAATCAATATTTCAATTTTTATTAGTTGTATGAAAGTTTTTGTTTGTTAATTTTAAAATCATGATCAAATATGAAATAAATATTTGCAAGGACAACTAAGATGATATATAGTATTTGAACTACTTCCTTTTAAAGTGAGTGACCCTATTGCTTTTGCCCATAACTGTAGGTTATGTTCATTTTTATTGTAAGGGTTTATAGGGTTATACACGCATGAAAGTATTCTTTTTTACTTTTTTTTTAAATATTTTTTAGTAAGTAGTATACGAAATCAGAGTAGATTTTTCTTGATTATTTACTTTCTCATAATTGCCGATAGGTGTGGCAACTGCAATTGTTTGAGAAAAATAATTTTGCCGATATGTAGGAATAAAATTTTTTCACACAGAAATTTCTTCGGCCAAAAATGAACATTAAAATAAAATAATCAAGAGAATCGGGCGAGTCATATGGTAGTATTTGTATATGCTTATGTACATATTTATATATAGTACATATGTATGTATGTTGGTATATCGAAAAATAGGTGGGTATAAATTTGATAACATATGTTAAGGCGTTTAAAGAAACGCCGTTTAACTTAATTGGGAAATGAAATAAATTTACACTGCACAACAGTTAAGAAGTTTAACACACCTAACATAAATACATCTATACCATATACTTGTGTATATGTATGTACACCCATAACAAATAAACAAGAAAAAACGTTAACTTCCGCTGAACTGAAGCAATAATACCCTTCACAAAGGCTATATTAACTTTTTAAGGGTATAAAAATAAAATATAATAGTAACTGTAATAGCAAATACTCGACACAATTATTTATAAAGTAATAACGTCCGTAAACTACCCCACTCGAGTGATAAAACCGTACGTACATATAAACATACATGTAAGTACCTATGCATACAGTTATTCATGCGTTAATACACATGTTTAAGTACCTGTAATAACAATAATAACAACAACATCGATATATTCAGCGATGACGCATACATTTATCACCTACAAGTTCATTTAAACACCTAGTAACGCAACCATTCATATATACATACATATGTTCACATGCAGGCATGTAAATGAATTAAAAAATATGTAAGTATTTACAAACGTCAACTCATTTCACACCTCAAAGGCAAGAAAACAGTTGAATAGCAGTAGAAGCATGTCGTCGGCGGCACCAGCAGCAAAATTGCTTGCTCACATGATTACACACATAATTATTTACATATTTACAGACTTACATATAATATATAATATTATATGTGGACACACGTACACGGCTGTTGGAGAACATTTTTCATTCCATAAATTCACAGTAACATTGTGCTCATCATAAATGTCAAAATCAGCGTCAGCGTCGCTGTCAACGTCAGCGTCAACGGCTTTGTATATGGCAAATTGCTCACGTCATTCATGAAAAAATCAGCAGTCATCAAATGTTAAAGTGCAAAAGCAAGACGGGACGGAAGAGGCGAAAAAGCAAACGTTGTTGCAACATTATAATGAGAATAATTAAAATTCATTCAAATAGCTGGCTGAAAAGACATATGCGCACCTGTATGTGTATGTGTGTGCGTGTCTGACTGCTGGAAGGAAGCAGGTGCCCAGAAGCTGAGAGCTATTCATGCAAGTCTTGCAACAGCGCACATACACACATACGTGCACAAGACAGTTCATTAGTTGTGAGTTAGTCAATCAGTCAGTCAACTCTACAACCGCACCACTACAGGCGCGTGAGCAATTATGCAAATATGTATTCGAGCTTTGTAGATGAAGAGCGCATCAGTCAGTTAATTAAGCATAGAAAATTGTGCAGTGCAAATTAACATTTTCCATTCATGCGTCACACACACACATATACGCGCACTCACGCACGCACGTACGCAGAGAGCGGGCACTCGCGGCAAAACTTTACCCGCGTTTTCCGTATTAAACAAAAATTAATATGAACTACAGTGAAAGAAAAAGCAGAAAATATGAAAAATAGTTAAATTGAATTCTGGCTCTGCGTTCATAGTAATAATGCAACAGCGGCTGCAATAACAACAAAGTTCAAGCAATTGCCATCTTTATATTCGCTGGGCGTTTCCTGATAGCTGCACGAGTAAGAAACGTTTATGGCGCATTTCACACTCCGACAGACAGAGCACAGTAATTGCAACGCGCTTAATAATTGTGGCGACTCGACTAAATGATTACACATCATCATTAGCTTCAACATCATATGTTCATCATAATCATCATATGATCATTATAACATCAACACAATTATTAAATCTTCATCATTGCTATAATTATTTGATCATCTTCATTAGCATATCATTTTCTGCCTAAGTTTTCTTGGTGTCTGTAAGTAAAACCGACCTCCGTGGAGATGATAACCTCCCAATTCGTCTAAAACTTTTACCCGGCGCGTGGCTTTTTCATGTTTACAAACAAAAAGTAGGCGCACGGGGTCCAAATATGGAGAATGCGATAGATAGATGAGGCAGTAGTTCACAGATTTGGCTTTGGTAGTAGAGCGTTGCGATCATATTGCCTTTCCTCAGATAGAAGATGTATATCACAACTTATGAATCAAAATGGTGATTACGACATAGGCGGCCGATAGGACAGTCTTCGTCTTCTTCAGAGCAGGTTCGCTAAGTGAACGGTTTCTATTTTCCTTGGCTCTTGGTTTCGTCGACGTACAAGCTCTTTCAAATTCTGCTTAAAAAACTCTCAAAAACTGCTGCGATCTTCTTCTAAGTGACCACGAAGTCCAATATTTCAAGCAGCAAAGTGCCCATGCGATCTTTTGACCTTGGTTCGGCCGTTTTCGGGGCACTTAGACGTGGCTCATTAAAAAGCGAAAACAACATATTATATTATATACAACATTCAAGCACTCTTTGTGTGCTAAAGTTTTGATTGAGCGATTTCCTTTCTGAATGCAAGATTCAAATCACACTTCGGTGGCGTCATTAAACGGTAATATTCAGTATTTATCAAACCTTCCTAGTATGTATATATATATATTATATGCATAATTATACTAAAAACAAACTTATATACATAAATACCCACGAACGTCATCATCATCGTCATGCTCATCGCGTTATTATCGCGCACGTCACAGCTATACCTATAGCCACAACCACAGCCGGAGGCCAGCTGTAGCAGCAGCAGTCAGTCAGTGGTCGCGTTTTAACTGCAAGTATTGCCCAGCGACCGCATGAAAAAGTTCGCTTACACGTTTATAGTTCAAGGTAGTCTAGCGTGCGGTGTATTCTTTCAGTAATTTCCGCTTCACATCCTACTACCAGCAGCTGGCTTTAAGCGTTCAAGAGCACACATACACCAGCACCGAGCATACTGACGCCAACACTGAAAAGTACAAGCTTGTAGTGGCGGTGGCAGTGAACGCTGAAAAAGTTGTGTCCGCCGGTACATACAGTGGACTGGAGATTGTGGAATGCGAAATTCAATTGATTTCAAACTCTATTAGTGACTATCAAGCTTCTTTTTA